CCCTGGAAATCGGACCACTTGTGCACTACCTGTGATATTCAGGAAATATTTACATGATGACCGTGGCCTTACGGCCAGGTCATATGAGATGTGGTTGAAGGAACTAGAGATGTGTAACCTTAAAAAGGGTAGGGGTTGGGAGTCAATAGCTATGTTTAAAGGGCTGTCCAGTAGAAGAGATTTGACTTGGGTGAAGAGTGATGGGTGAGTTGCAAAGAAGCAATTTTAGGCTAAAAAAATTAGAGCTATCCAAGAGTAGAATGGTCTTCCTCAGAAGGTGGTAGGTTCCTCCAGTCTTCAAGCCTTTGCTAGACTGCCACAGGTCAGGTTAGTTCCTTTCAGGGATGTGTAGGTTTAGATAACAGAGGTTCCCCCTAAAGCTGAAATTCTATGATCAATGACTTGCTCACAAAACCTATTCTACAAATTTTAATGGAATGTATTCCAACTCCTGAACCTCCCTCCCAAGTCTCTTCCTCCTGGATCCTCCCCTCCCCCACTCTTTTTTCCCCTTTCTTGAGTCTTAGGAGCTCTAGTTGTAAGATGTGGGTTTTGGATATGAAAGAGGCACAGAATGGGATCTGGCTTTCTAAGTTCTTTTCATTTTTCAGCTCCCACCCATTACTCTATTCACAGCAATTTTCTCTTAATTCACTGACTTATAATTTGATCTTTTGCTCACATAAATGGCACATTCTGCCATTTACAGTTGCTTTCACAGACACCTAACTTGTGCAGCTGATTGAGTGCTAGCCTTGAGAGTCAGAAGACCTAAGTTCAAATCCTGACTTGAGACACAACCTGGGTTGTAAGTCACTCACGTCATCAACCTCTCAGTCTCATTTTCCTCATCTGCAAAATGAGATGATAATAATGGCTCCCTAACTCACAGGGTTATGACTGCAAACCACTTTACAAACCTTAAAGCACTATATAAATGTCGGCCATATTTTTTGCTCTATATATTCCTTCCTTGTTTCCAACAAGCTGACAAATGTTTGATTAGGTCAATGTGGCCTTAAATCGAATGTTATCCAATGTCCATCCACTCAGTTTTCGAGGTTGGCTTGTCTCTGAAAGAGCTAAACTAGATTTATTCCCACTCCCAGGGGGTATAATCACAATTCACCTGCGGTGTAAAAGATCAATGTGTTAGTTGCTAGCTGCCCAGAACTCAAATGACTCTTATGCTACCTCAAAGAAGTTTATAATAATATAATCATAGAACTGGAAAGAAAATCAGAGACCATAATACCAACCATCTCATTCTACAGATTTGATAACTGACTGGACTAAGGTCTCACAGGTAGTCAATATCAAAGATAGGATTTGTCCTCTTAATTCCGAGTCAGTGCCCATTCCACAGCACATTTATCCAAGTAAGCAGTTTACAACACCATGCAGGAGATAAGAGTACACAAACAAGTCCAATGCAAAGTCAAATGTGATAAATATACAGGCACATATGAACAAAAGTGTTTTGATAGGATCTGAGGAGACATTATTTGAGATAAATAACTTGTCTGAGAGCTCAGGAAAGGCTTCACTGGAAGGGGCTGCAGTTGAGCAAAAGATGGAAAACTTGGGAGTGGATGGGTGTCTTTCAGGGAGTGAAGGGAAAGATCCAATTCCAGAAACAGGGTCATCCAGCTTAACTAAAGCCAAATGTAAGGAGATTCTTCTAGGCTAGAAGTATACTTTCATTTGGCCTGGAGCACTGAACACATTTCAGCCAGAGGGGAGTCACCTCGGTGGATTTTTGGGGAAAAAAAAGTACTTAGGATGGGAAAACCTAAGTGCTACTACTTGCTCTGCACTGACTACATGACTTGGAAGCTTTTGTGGACCTCAGTTTCATCATCTGAGGGTTGGACTAGATTTGTTTCTGGGATCTCTTTCAAGTTAACATTCTATGTCGGTGTGGTTCTATGAGGAGGGGGAAGAAAAAGCCCTTGTCTTCATTAGTCCTAACCCAAAGGATTTAAAAGCTATCCAGAGACTCGGCTCAGGGCTAATGCCTTTTGTCCTAAAGCTTTGAAGGCCCCCATAGCCAGAAATTCTGCCTGTCCATCTGCCTTTAAATGAGCTGAGGGTAGCCTGGAAATTCAGACAGAAAGTCCCTGAACTGTGTCTTTGGTCCAAGGGAGCTTCTCTGTGCCCTGAGTGCACGGGGTCTCACAAAGCAGACTTGGCTAACCAGTACAGATTAGCTGCATCTTTCACTTTAGTAACCCATGCCTGAGTCCAGAAACTCTGAGAGGCTTCTCCTTAATCTGTATGAAGAATGTTGTCTTTTCCCCTCCATTTATTAAAAGAAGCAGCCCACAGCACCAAATGCCGGAGTTATTTTTAAATCCTGTGTTTAAAAGTTAAATTGCCTCCTACTGTGTTCCAGTAAGGCAACTCAGAAAGCCCCCTCTCCCCTTGCTCTGGAAGTAAGGGGGTCATGGTATGAAAGGCCTGTAGAAGTTGGAGGGAGGTAACATTCTGCATTTGTCCTTTCCATGCCCAAGGTGAGACTTGTGGAGCTTAGAAGATGTCAAGTGGTCAAGTCCTCCAGGGGTTTGGGGGGAAACCTCTGATTTCAAGAAAGAGGAAGCCTGGGCTCCTAAAACCCAACGTTATTATTTACAGCCCAATGATACTGGGGAATATAACAGCCCCTCGTGGTAATATTAAATCAGGTTAACAATTTATCATTGTAATTTAATTTTTACTTATGTTTTCTTCACTGCTCATGGAAGAAGGCAGAAAATGAAGCTGGAATCGTTCAATCTTCTTATCTTAAGATGTTTAGCAGGGGAAATCTAAACCTTCCTTTCTCCTCGTCCAACACCATGTGAAAAGAAAGGCCACATGTGAGATGAAGGCAACTGATTAATTGGTGTAGAGGATGCAGCAAGACCTGACATCAAAAAACCTGAGTTTCAATATGGCCTCAAATAGCTGTGTGACCTTGGACAAGTCACTTAATCTCATCTAGAGTTCAGTTTCTTCATCTGTAAAATCACAATAAGTCTCTACCTCTCAGGGTTACCGTGATGATAAATGTGCATTGCAAATCTTTTAAGTACTATGTAAATACTGGCTCTTATTATTATGACCTATATCTGGACTACCACTTCTGAAGGGCCACCTTTTACCACCTCTGGAGGCCACCAGGGTAGATGATTAATAATTAGACTTGTTTGGGCTGGTGTATTCTCTGCCCCTACCTACCTAGCCCAGAGGGAGAGCCTTCACAGTCTTAATGCTTTCTTTTCCTACCTCTAATAAGTCCATCTCTCTTCACAGGAAAGGACCCAAAGTAACAAACCAGAGGTAGTACAGATTGAGCTGTAGTGTTCCAGCTAGGGCTCACAGGACACAGGAGGGGAACCTGGGAATGTGAGTGTTACTCTTGCGCAAAAAGCCTTCCCTTCCACCCAAGGCACAGAGACTTTTGTGGAAGCCCTGTTCCCTGGGATTAACCTTGTATGCTCCGATCCCCCCAGCTGCAGCAACTTCTATGACAGATGTATAGATCTTCATTGCCAGACTGGGGTCTCTATAACTGACTGCTGCACACCGGTGCCCCCCTCCCCAGCCTCTTCAGTTAAGGTCCACTGGGCAAGGCCTATTTGGAATTAAAGAACCAGGAAGTCACGAAGTTTTAAGGGGAAATAATTTTTCCTTTCACTAGGTAATGTTGAAAGTGGAGCCTCCTGTATGATTCCAATTGCTAGCAGCCCACTGGAATCTTGAGGCACGTCCAACATACCAGCCTTCTGGAAACCACCCCCAAAGCTGCAACAGGTCTCCCTAGACCTTACATCCTCTGTGCTCCTGGTATCCTCCTGTTCACCAAGTGGGATGAGAAGAAGAATGCTCAGAAAGCAGGGCTGGTGCCCGCAGAACTTGGGGTTACTGGGGAAGAGGAGAGAAACTACACCTCGGCTACAGAAACTGGTTGCACAGAGGGAACCAAGACATGCAGATGCCAGAAGGTACAGAAGGCAATTCTGGGCAGCATGCAAGGACCAGCCTTAGTCCCAGCTTCCTCCTCAAATATTAAAAAGAAAAACAATCTCTAAACTCTGCTCCCCATGGGCCTCTAGGCTACTAAGCCCAGAGCTGACAGCCTCACGATGGGACTGGCCTAGCCTTTTATCGTGGGGGCAGGGAAGAGGGGTGCGTGGGAGGGGGGGGTGCCTGGATGACAGGTCTGAGGTGCGCCAACAGAATCCATGTATCGGGGGCGGCACTAAGCCAGCCTGCTTAGAGTCCTCACAGCCTCTGCCTCTCCATCCGCTCTGCTCGCCCTCATTCCCACCACTCTATAGCCATGCTCCCAGGAAACTCGGGCAGTAAAATGCCGGCGAGGAAATGGGTTTCTCGCATCATTCACCCTCCCTTCGCAACTCCGGGGCAGCCGTCCCGTCCCAAGCCCGCCAAGGGCCAAACCACTGCAACTCGCAAGTGTAGCTCCTTCCCGTGGCCACCGATTCTCCCTCCCTCTCAAAGGGCCAGTGTGGCCGCCCTGGCCGTCACGTTCCACTAAGGCTAAAAAGGGCAGCCCGAAAGCGGCGGGCGCCGAGTGCCCCCAGTCGAAAGGATTTTCCGCTGGTGGCCGCGCCCCGGCTGGTGGAGACAAGAGGGACCGAGCTGCGTAGCTGCACAAACAGTCCGTTTGCACGCACACCACCAGAGGGAGGGGGAGGGGTAGAGGGTGAGGGGAAACACACGCGCGCACACACACTCACACGCACTGCGACCCACAAAAGTTATCGGGCACCGAAATCTCTCCCACAGCCATCACCACTCGGAGGTTGGAAGCCCACCAGCTCCAGGCCCCGGCTGCACGTCAGCAGCCGGATCAACCCTGGCCACCACCATCCTCGTAGCAGCCACTGCTTGCATGCAGCCGATCCCGACCCGCAGGGGCTGGAGCTAGCAGCGCGCGGCGGCGGTGGCGGCCAGGCCTCTGGGACCCTGCAGGGGCCCGGAGGTGTCACACTTACCCCTTGCCTGCCCCGAGGACCGGGAGCGGGCCAGCAGGCTCCGGTATCGGCTTCCCTTCCTGCTGCAGTGGACTGATTTCGATGGCCCGGGGAACCACCAGCAGCTTGCACGCACCTCCCCAAATTTAAAAACAAACCCGACGCTCGCTGCCCACCCACCCCCCTCCTTCCTGGATGATGGGCCCTCCGTCCCCCGGTCCTGGGAGGGAGTGGAAAGTTTGCTCGCAAAAACCTGGCGTCCCGTCACCCTCGGTTCGTAGTGCAAGGGCTAAGTCCTGCTCTGACTACCTGGTTCGCACGGAGCCCGTGTTTTCTCCCTCGCTCTCTCCCTCTGTGTCACCCCCAGCCCTGCGATGCAGTGTCAGGATTGCACGGCTCTGACTCATCGGTTGAGCTCACAGCTTGAAAAAAAAAAAAAGAGGCGGGGGGAGCATGCAACAGCAGAGGAGGACTTCTGCTCTGGCGCTCAGAAAGGATTGCACAACCCAAAGCCTCCTCAGCACAGCCCAGGGACACCCTCCAGCCGCACACACTTGCACTACGGCGAACTGAAACCAGCTCTTCCACTTCATCAGCACTACTGTCTTATGATCTCGCCCTCCCCGGAGCAGGCCGGTCCCCGCCCACTTCCTGTGACCAAATACGGCTGGGAAAGGCGTTCTTAAAAACCACCAGCCTCTCCGCCAAAGTGGGGATTTCCAGCATACCTCAGCTCCACTCAGGACTTCGATCTGCTCCCCTTTCAGACCTCCTCCAGGTCGGCCACCGTTTGGTCCGCAAGGATCCAGCTGGCCTATGTATGCATTGCTTTCCCTGCAAACCCCAAGGTCAGGAGGAGATGCTGACGAAACCCATCCGCCTGCCAGGAAAGTGTCCCAGCCTGGGAAGTATGGGACGAGGGGGTGGGGGTGGAGGAGGGGAGGGACGCGAGAAACGAGTATCTCCTTCCATAAAGAAAATCCTCTAATTTTTTGGATACCGTGTCAAGGCACAATTCTTCTCCCTCCCCAACCCCCGCACGTCATTAGCACTGCACAGTAGCCTCCACTTTCTGATTTTGGCAGAATAAGAGCCTAGTGCCTGGAAAGTGAGGGAAGGGAGCATGATTATTTTTTTTAACTCGAAATCTTCCTGGAACTCATCTCTGAAGGACCTAGGCCTAAAAAAAAGTAGAAGTTACTGGGTTTTCCTCCCTAAAGAAGTCTGGCTGTATTTGAAGGAACTAAACCAGGCTCTCCCTCCACACTCACAATTTATCCACCGTCCCTATCTCCAGTCCCCACTGCATGCATGCCCAAGGAGGCAAAGTGCCGGGATCCTGCCCCTCAGCCCCTAATGCTAATGTGTAGAAGGGAGGGGCAGCAGGGGAGGGGCTGTACTAGACAATCCGCAAAGTCTCTTACACTTCTTACTGTTCCCCCTTTACTTTGGCACTGAGTAGAGTAAGTTGAGTTTGGGAATACAACCTTGAAGAAAAGGAGGCGATGGCCCCAAGCCTATAAAGTGGCAGCACTCGGAGGAGCAGCTGCATAGAGCAGTGGGCCTGCAGTCTGGAAGACCTACTGGGAGTTCAAAATCCTGCCTCAGACACTTAACTAGCTATGTGACCCTGGGCAAGTCACTTAACCTCTTTTTTTACCTCAGTTTCCTCAACTGTAAAATGGGGATAATAATGGTACCTACCTCCCAGGGTTGTTAGAAGGATCAAATGAGTCAATATTTGTAAAAAAAATTTTTTTTGAGGGTGCTTAATAAATGCGTATTTACTGCTTTCCAATCCAGACTATTCCCAAGGGGTTGGGGTTAGGAATAAAGAAAGATTTTCTAGGGGTAGAAGTGGTAGAGAATGACACTTGATAAAATAAACTTGGCCAGTTGTCCCTCACCTGTTTTTCCTTCCTTCTTTACAACCTAAGGAAAAGAAGCATCTATCCTTTTCCAATCTTCACCCAGTTTCCTGCAGCATTCATAGGAAGGAAAGCAGAAAGCAACTTCAGGAGTGTGGTATGGGGCTGTATACAATACAGGCAGAGGATGAATCAACCATCAGTCAGTTCAATCCAATTCATTGTGGCAAAGTAGACTTGGAGTCAGAAATAGCAATTCTATTTACCTCTCTGGACTGGCTTTGTCAACTCTAAATTTTTCTCTCCAGCTCCAAGGCTCTCTGCAGCCCTAACATTCTAGGATTCTATAAACCTCATCTATTTGGTGAGGTAAGCAGGTGTGTAGAAATTACCTCCACCTGAAACCTCTTCCCTGGAAATGCTTTAGCTACTTGGGAAGTCAGGTTCCAAATCTTTGCAGCACCTGCTCTAGCTCCAAAGGTAGATATTATTTCTGCTGAGTGGCATCTTTGAGGTGTGGACCATACAATCTGAACTTTAAAGGCTTTCTGGAAGAGGAAAGGTAATCAGTCAATAAGCATTTATTAAATATCTACTGGGGGCAAGCTAGGTGGCACAGTGGATAGAGCACTAGGCTTGGAATCAGGAAGACCTGAGTTCAAATTCAGCCTCAGACACTCAATAGCTGTGTGACCCTGGGCAAGTCACTTAACCATCATTGCCTCAGTTTCCTCATCTGTAAAATGAGCTGAAGAAGGAAATTGCAAACCACTCCAATATCTTTGCTAAGAAAACTCCATATGGGGTCATGAAGAGTTGGATGCTACTAAACAAAATGACTGAACGACAACAAAATAATATATTACATTTGAAGTAATTTACAATTTGCACAGCACTTTCCCACAAACATAATATTCACGTCCCTTATCTCATCTGATCTTCAAACATGACCTAAAATTCATCACAACCAAACTGGCCTCAGTTTCCTCATCTGTAAATTCCTGGTACACCTCATTAGTACCTCCTGGTTTGAAAGTTTTAATGATTCTATGAAATGACCCTGTGAGGCAGGAAGGGCAAGTATTACAGTCAAATGGAAAGAGTATCAGATTTGGAGTCAGAGGTTCAAGTGCTGGTACTGTGTCTAAGACCTTGGGCAAACTGCTTTAACTTCTCTGTTAAAGTTTCATCCCCTAAATTGAGGGAGTCGAACTGCATCCCTTTGATGGTCTCTTCCATTTCCAAACCAATTGATCTATGACAATGAGTATAATAATTAGACCAATGTTGTAGATGAAAAGTAGAGCACGGGACCTTTCGTCAGGAAAACTTGGATTCAAATCCCGCCACACACTTAGTAGCCGTGTGACCATGGCTGAGTAATTGCATCTCAGTTTCCTCATCTTTAAAATGTAAAATAACAGCACCATGTCCCAGAGAATCAAATGAGATAATATTTTTCAAGTGCTTTCTCTAAGCACTATATGCTAGCTATTATTGTTTTTATGGTGGGCATCGAGGTGATAGAGTGGATAGAGTGGGGAGCCTAGAGTTAGGAAGACTTATCTTCCAGAGTTCAGATCTGGCCTCAGATACTTATTAGGTGTGTGACCCAAGTTACTTAACCCTGTTTACCTCAATTTTCCCATCTGGAAAATCAGCTAGGAAAAAAAAATGGCAGACCACTTCAGTATCTTTGCCAAGAAAAATCCAAATGAGGACACAAAGATTCAGACATGAATGAACAACTTTTTTATTATAAAAGTAGATGTAGAAAGCTAACCTATAGATCTCAAACTCATCATTTCTTTCTTTTCAACCTCCTGAGGAACAGGGAAGCAGAGGAAGAAAACAAACTAGAGCAATGTGATATAGTGAAACTCTTCAACATCTAATTTCCACTCTGGGAGCTAAAGGTACCAGCCAAGGCACTCAGTCACATATAATACTTGGCAAATGAATGAATGAATCCTAATTAACTATCAAGAGATGTTCTCTTTGAATTGAATGCTAGACTGGAAATTAGGAAGATCTGGGTTCAGATCCCATTTCTCACCCTTAAGAGTGTGACATTGGACAAGTCATTTTATTTTTCTTTTCTGGGCTAGGTGGCACACTGGAGAGAGTGTCAGCCCTGAGTCAAGAAGACCCAAGTTCAAATCTGTCCTCACTTCCTAGTTCTGTGACCCTGGACAAGTTACTTAACCTTGTTCACCTCAGTTTTGTCATCTGTAAAATGAACTGGCAAAGGAAGCGGCAAGCCATTCTAGTATCTGCCAAGAAAACCCCAAATGGGGTCTCATTGGAGAGTATGACAAGACTGAAATACTCAATAACAAAAAAATGACAACAACTTTAGCGTCTACTTCACTAGACTACTAGAAGGTACAGAAGAGATGATGATGTATGTAAAATGCTCTCCAGACTTTAAGGCCCTAATTATATAAATGGTATTTATGATTTACTATTTGCCTGCCTGGTTATGGTTCAGTGTGAAGCAGTTAAGTTTTTCATATTTGTTTTGCTTCTTTCCTCTAACGTACTCCTTAGAAGTGAATTAGATAAAAGTGAAACCAAGTGGTTATCAGTGCACAGCTGCTACTTTGGCCTCTTCCAAAAAAAGCAGTTACAACAAAACTTACAGAATTGTTCATACTCTTTGAACCACAATATCCCTATGGGGTTAATTTTCCAAAGTTTTTTTTTCCCCCCAGCAAGAATTCAGGGCAGAAGTATTCTTAATGGTACCAGCACTTTTTTTTTTTTGAGACTGGATCTCCTTATTTCACCCAAGCTGGACATACAGTGGTCAATCACAGGCCCAATCCCATTGCTGATCAGCAGGAAAGCTTTGACCTGTTTCATTTCTTGGACCAGTTTGTCCCTCTTAGGCAGTATGGTGCCCTCCCCCCTCCCGGGAGCTTACTATACAGATGCCAGACTTAGTGGAGACACCTAATAGGCTTTAGCTCTATTACCTAGGCTCAAATGATCCACCACCTTTAGCCTCCCTAATAACAGAGATTACAGGCATGTGCTCAGCTTCACAGCACTATCTGTGATAGCAAAATATTGGAATAAATGATGCACAGCTATCAGAGAATGACTAAACAAATTATAGAGCATGAATATTATCAATTGGAGGCACTGGAAACGTCTAGCTGGGAGAAGACCTGGAAGTGATATGACGGCTATCTTCAAATATTTGAAGGGCTGTCCTACAGAGGGGAGACTAGACTCTGGCCCCAGAGTGCAGAACCAAGAGCAATCCGTGGGAGTTGTAAAGAGGCAAATATAGGCTTGATAAGAAAGAAAGAAAAAAGAAAACTTGCTAATGATCCGATTTGAACCAAAAGTGGAACGAATGGGCTGCCTCAGGAGGTGATGTGCTCCTTGTCTGTGGAGGTTTCCAAAAAGAAGACGACAATTTGTCAGGTATGTCATACTAGGGGTTCCTGTAAAGTATTAGCCTCAACTAGATGGTCAATGAGGATCTTTCCAACTCTCAAATCGTGTGATTCTATGAATATCATGGAAAACTTCTGTGCCTTACAAGATGACAGATATGAAAAATTCAGAGAAATGTAGAAAGACTTGCATGAAGTGATACAAAACGAACAAAAGCAAAACCCAAAGAACAACATATACAATGACTCCAACTACATAAATGAAGACAACTTTAAAAAGCAACAAAACTCAGATCAAATACATCGGACAACACTGC